GAAAAGTCATTTTAATTAGACTTTCATTTAAATTGAACTTCAGAAAAATTCAAAGGGGGTGGGAGAAAACTAGAAAAGAGCCGGCTTATGTTCAAAGAACGGCAAGTTGTGGGAAAACAGTAGAAGAACCAAAAAAATAAAATCTGCAGATGTGGTGAGACGCAAAAAACCGAAGCAAATTTTGTTAGGTGGCTCTTTTTTCTTTCCTCACCCAATTCAAATGAGCATCATTTTCACAGTGTAACGACGGGTTTTACAAGGTTGCGTATGAAGACCAAAAATGTTTGTTACAGCCAAATTAGTCACATAACAATTATTGTAATAATCGCGAAATGTCAACAAAAAAAAACTCTTCCAAAACTCGCATTTGAGGGCGGGGTGAGGGAAAAGAGCCTGTTAGGGCGCACAATAAAAAAAAAGCAAAAGATTTGCTCTTTTACGCGCCCTTCCAACACACATTTAATTTCAATTCTGAAAATGTAGCATAATTTTGTCACACTGTGGTGAATTTTTGCATAGTGAACATATCAATTTTGTTTTTCAAGCTTTATAATCAAAAAAACACCTACGCCGTAAAACAACTATGATAATAGAACACTTGATGTGAAGGGGGGTGGCAATAAAGGGTAAATGAGAAGAGAATAGAAACAATGAAACAATTCTTTCCTTGGCAATTTTCTTCGTCTTTCCGGTTATTTTTTTGTCCAAAGTTTTACCCTCTGCAATTCCCTTTTGCGCCAGCTTTTTCATAATCTGGTGGAACGGCTGGTACTTATCAGAGTCCAAAATACTTTCCGAAATATTCCGGATTAGTTTTGGACATTTTCTGATGTCTAGGATGACAAACTTGCCCTTGAACATGTTGTCGTCATTAATGCGCTCATTTTTCACGGTCAAAGCATCACCGTGATTCAAATTATCGGCAATTTCTTCACGTTCGGCGTAAATTTCAAGTCCATTTTTAGAGGTTCGTACAAACTTCGAGATTCTTCGTTTCAACTTAGCCTTAAAACAAGGATTCAATTCTCTGAAAGGTTTTAAAACAGCCGCTCGTTCGTATAAACTCTCAATTGTCTCAAGACATAGTTTGAACTTCGAAAGTTTTTCTAGGTCGTATTTTTTCACAACAGTGTCAAAGACGCATCTCATTTTCAAAGACTGTGTCGCAAACATGCGTGATCCGAAAGCAACAGTCATGCACAAAGCAGTTTCGCACAATTCGATTTTTTCACTTACTTTATTCACAGCAGGGCAAGAAAATCTTTTGAGCATATTCAAACTGTAAAGAAAGTTTTCAGCACTTACACTTTGGACATCTTTTCTAGGAGTGCTTGTGAAAGTTTTGCATAAAGTATCTTCAAAAAGAGGAGTCACATTTGTGGGTTTTTTGACTATTATTATACATTCCTCGTCACTTTGGATACTGCTCAACTCCGACAGCTGACTGTCAAAAACTTCAAAACTCTCGCAACTATCTTCGTTATTGTAAACGCAGAAGCCGCCCAGCAATGTTTCCAGCTGGTCACATGTCATAAAACTGTTTTCCTGGACTTTTAAGTCCTCCGCTTTCGTGTCTCGAATCGAAAGCGCGAACTGATTCAGCTCTTCTGAAAGCTGAGTCGAAAGTGAACTTTCTTCGGCAAAGTAGATTTTCGGTACTATGACACTTTCTTTGATAGTTTTCTTTGATGTTTTAGGACTTTTGCTGTAGCCAAAGTCGTGAGCCGATAGATCTTCGTCGTGAAAACTTTCTTTTGACTTGTCCATTTGAGAAGGAAATCGGAAGCTTCGCATGGCTTCGCAAGAACTAGCACGCATCACGACATAATTTTGAGTCGCAGCATAAATAACGGTGAACATATCTTCGCGTTTCCGCGACTTAGAGTTCATTTTGAAAAACTGGGTATGCAAAAAATCAACTGCAACTTTAATCAAGTTATTTACTTGTCATAAATAGAAAGGTTGTTTCGGGAAAATGTGAGAACTAAAAAAACACGTGCGCGTGTAAGAACCCGATTCAGTTCTTTTCCACTCGCCCCCATATTTGAATTTCAGTTTTGCAAAACTAATGTTAAGTATTGATAATGTAATGAAATTTTGCATGGTGAAAAAACTAACTATTGTGAACACATGTGTTCTTTATACCTTTCTTCCTAATATCACGCATTCGGCCATACCATAATAACATGTACGACAATTGAAAAATGGAAAATTTGAAATGTGGGGGGGGGGGGAGTGGAAAAAAACCCTGATTCTGTTCTAAAAGAAAAAAAAACTCGCAGATTTTGGCGGATGGAAAATTCGAAATTACATCAGATTTATGCAATAAAAAATGTCGCGAGCTTGCTAACAGAGAGTAACAATCTATATTAAATTAAAAACTGGTTATCGCTGCCCTAAAACATCGCTTTTCATCTTTTTCGGCCATTAGAACCTCTAATCTTAATTTTCGCCTGGCTGGAAGGATAATCGGATAATCATGTACTTGGTTTGTTGGCCTACCCAAATGTCATTTAAGAAATTTTTACTTAAACTGATCAGTTTGTACAAATGGAAACAGTATGAGCGTGATCAAATACCCTTGAAAGATATGCCAAAAAAAGTTACAAAACTGGAAAGCAAGGAACTATAAAAAAGGAGAATGCAACGGGTACGATTTTTCCATTATTGTTCCGTTGCAAATTATAGCTCTATATAGCAGTGAAACTACAACGGATAACAAATTGGGGCTCTTTTTTCTTTTCCCCCCACCTCACACAACCATCAATTTTATGTTGTAACGAGTGGTCTTATAAGGTTAATTATAAAGACCAAATATGTTTGGCACAGTCTAATTAGTCCGCATGTCAATTTTCATAATGTGAACAGTAAGTTTACTAGTAAAAAACTGCAAGTTGTACTGGTAAACTCATTTTATTTTTCTGTTTTCTCATTGAAATTTTTGTACAAATCTGCAATTCTACAAGGGGGGAAACGAAAAAGAGCACAAATTGGGTAGTAGGAAACAGAGTTCCCACATTTTACTGCTCATTTTATTTTCCCGTTTTCTCATTGAAATTTTTCTACAAATCTGCAATTCTACAAATCTGTTGACTTGGCATCTTGCTGCATTTTTGTTCATTATCTCAAATAAAGACGAGTATGAATGGCGTGCTTTCTTCAAAAAAAGTCTTCTGCAATCATTCGCTTTAACTTTATGAGGGTCTGAAGGTTGCGTATTTGGCCGTTTCGGGATAACAAAAGCGCAATTTTTTTCATTCTATTACAAAATAATTTACAATCAGAAGCTACCACTAAAATCTAGCTAAACTATCAGGATGAGAAGGTTATAATAAATAAGGCAAAGTCAGACAGATTTTTCTATAAACAAAATGTGAGAGAAAAATAGGGGGTTAACGATCTAATGAGAACATAAAACTGAACGAAACTGTTCAAATGAGGGCGGAGCTCCGAATGTTCCGGCTGTCTTTCAAGGTCTCTGGAGCTGTAACAACATGAAAAAATTAATGTAATAAAAAAACAATTTTTTTTTAAGTTTGACACTTTTTGTGAAAAATATCCCCCAAAACTCCATATAAAGACGATGTGATAGATTTCCCTCTTAGTAACACATCAATTCGAAACAAACACCAAAAAATTCGACAACTTTTCCCTCTCACCGAAAAATGGTTCTAAATTTCTTACTCGGAGTTTGATTTATGGCTCAATATCCGAATGAATCGGGACATACATAAGTACCGCCCTTTAACAATACTAGTATGTTTTCAGCTAGAATTTTTTTTCAAATTGTGTCATTTTTGGCTTGTTGTTTGATAAGAAGACCTCAACAGAAATCTGGATATATCAAATACTCGGTATTAAAAATACTTTATTAACTTTTTGCAAAAATTGTTTTTGATTTTTTTTTCAATTTTTATTCCCAAGAAAGCGCTGAAAGTTTTTGAAACTTATTGAGATGTTTCTACACAAAATTTTTACTGCTTAAATGGATTTATAAGACTAGTATTAAGTTCCTATTTTGATTCTCCTCACTCGATTTATTCACTGGAAATTAGGCTGAAAATCAAAAACTTCAAGCCAGTTTTTCTCGACACTAAGATAATTTTGTGTCACATTTCAAATGATGGAAAAGGCCTCAAAAATGTATACTAGTTACTCCAACCCGATGAATTTTTCTGGTACCTAATTTTGAGTGAAAAAATTTTTTCCACAATTTCAGTTGTCAGAACTATAACAGTCAAAAAATATCTTTGTGAAAAAGTTGACTTTTGTCTAAATTCAAAACTTCTAAAAGCACAGAGAGTTTAATCCATTTAACTGAAATTTTTGGGAAAGTCAGAGTTGTTTTGTCGTTTAATAAGATGCTTAGGCCTTTTTTAGTACACAAGACAAATTTGCTTGTTTTAGTATACAAAAATGACAAAGTTTGCTAGCATTCAGGTAAAACCTTGAGTATTTTGACAAGTCCGAATTTCTGTGATGAATGCCTGGGGTTTTTTAGTAGACTTATAAATCAAACTTCCAACAATTGAACAAAAAATTGTTTTCAATTTCTCAAAACGCCATGACTATTACAAAATCATTTATTCCCGTCCAGTAAAGCAATATTCAGACCAGTAGTCTTACCTAATTTTTCTTAAAAAATTTGACTGCGACGTAGACAATTTTTCACAAAGTAAGGTCCTTATACTATTTTAGGAGAGCTCGGAAAATCAAATTGTTCGACCTAAAATTTTTTTTTAAAATCAAAAATTTTCAAATTTTTTCCAAAAACTTCGCCCCCCCCCCCCTTAGGAAAATTTCTGCGCACGTCACTGAAGATTTTATACGTTTCATGATTTCATGAGAGATTTCGTAAAATAAAAACGCGTAAAACTACAGCAAAAAAACCGAAGATTTGTTCTGAGTGACTGTTCTGAAGATTTCGTAAGTTCACATATGTCATTAAAGTTGGCTTAGGATGCTGGAATAAAAAGCAAATTCAATTCCATAAAAAAGAAACGGCTCATAATTTGAATTATAGTATCATATGCGGTTAGTACCTTCATAACTAGTAATCAATAAACTATAATTTTATATAACACTCAAATTAAATATTCATCCTTAGACAGTCACTTATATCTGAGTAAATATAACTAGTGATGATTGTTTGAAGTATACGAGTCTGATGTGGCCTATATGGTTGGGTGAGTCTAGTCCCCCATCATCATCTCCTTGAACTCCTCGAAGTCGACCTCGCCTGACCCGTCGGCGTCTGTCTCCGTGATCAGCTGCTCGATCTCCTCATGAGTCATCTGCAACTCTGGCTCCTTCAGAAGGTTCCTCACAAGGTCAGTTGAGATACTTCCAGTGCCTGGACGAAAAATTCAGCATTGGTATATTTCAAAAACTTTGTTCCTTTTTTCCTATTCATGGTTTCAAATTCAAATGTTTGGTACTGTTAATCACAAAAAGAACACTCTTGAAACTTAACCATTTTGTGAACGAGTAAAAAAAATAACATTTGTGCTTTGAGAAGAAAATACAAAAAAACGGAAAAAATGTTCAATTTTTGGAAATTTCATTAAAACAAAAACTGTTTTAAAGACGTTAAAGGCCAGCAGAAAAAAGTTTTTCTTTTTGATAGAACCAAATTTTGTTTTGTGAAACATAGATTAAATTGAAAACGTGATAAGATGTGCATCATTTTGTAATTTTTGTGCATCATTTTGTATTTTGTAATTCTTTAAGATAATTGTGAAAATACTTGTGAATTTACAATGAAAAACATAATCACTTTATTAAAATTGATCAAAGATTTTTTAAATAAAATTATACAAGGTTTGGTAATGTTCAAATTGGCCGATTTATGCTAATAAATACAATTTAGGAGAAAATGACAGAATTTTTGTGCCCTTGGTGGTTTTGTCCTCCAGACGAATTTCTATTTTTCCACTAGCAATTTTTGACGGAATCTTTTAACGTTTTTTTGTCAAGTGTTTTTTTGTAAAGTAATGAGGGTTTACAGATTGCCATTTTGGCCAATTTGGGACAATTAATGCGCGATGTATTTCGTGCAATTAACGCGTATGCGGATATTTTATCCTGAGAAATCGCTTCAAGTTGAGTTTAGGCATGCTATTTGATCCATTTAACACTTTGCTAATTGCAAAATATATCACTTTACATAGCGTGCGTTGGGATGATAAGAAAAAGATTCAAAAAAAGTTCTGCCTTTTTCATTTTACTTCGTAGAAATTAAAATGCAGTCGGATTATTCAAAGTCTTGCAGTGATACGAGCAGTCATGTTCCCACTTAGCATACCCGGATCGGTCTGCCAGTCATAGTCTGTCCTGTTACAGAACAAATTTAGTTTTTCGATTTTTTTGAATTAAATTTAAAGTTTTGTTACGTGTCGTTCCGTCGAAAAAATAGTTTAAATAATTTTACACGACAAAAAAGCTAAAACCACATGAAACAAAGCACTTGCTATCAGGATGGCGTGGGGAAAGCTTGAGGGAAAAAAGAGGAATAGAAAGCAATTTTTGAAAAAAAAAATGTTTTATCAGACCCGATAAACAAAAGTCGGAACAACCAGGAATGAACGCTTTTACAAACAACTTTTGATGAAAATTTAAAAAATATTTGTACTACGAGTGATTTTCCATACAATCTGAATATTATTTAGGTGTTGAGCTCAAATTTAAAAATAATTTCACTACATTCAATTTGCATAACACTATGTGGCTTCGAAAATGTTTGGGTTTTGCGTGTTTTATACTATTGGGATAAAAAAAATCCTGTTTTATATCAATGTTTGCTCTGAAAAAACTCAAATTGAAGGCAAGCTGGTTGATTTACGCTGGTCACTAATAAACGCATAACTTTTTGTTTTGTATGTGTGAGGGTAAAAAATTCAATTGTTTTAAATTGTATTCCATGCAAAGCTCGTAGCACAACCAAAAAATACAGTCTTGTTGTTCCGACTTTCGATACGAAAGTAACGGAATATTTGTGCTTTTATCGGCGAATATTTGGAATTTTTTTTTTTCATTTTATTTTATTTCATATAATGTTTTTATGTTGTTACTGCTGGTCCATAAGACTTCAAAAGCAGTCGGAACATTCAGGGCTTCGCCCTGATACGAGCAGTCTTGTTATTGTTTTCGTCTTTTTTTAAAGAATATAGGAAAAATCGGCGAGCTTCACGATGCCAACAGAAGAGGAACCCATAAATTAGCCAGGAGTTCGTTTTCTTTATACCGATGATTATGCATGCGCTTGAAAAAAACAAAATGATGTAAAATTGGTAAAAATGAGGACAAATTTATATGAAATTAAAGAAAATTTCATATACTTAGATAGTTTCTCTATTTGGTTAAAAACAAAGGTTTTAAAACAAAGGTTGCTGAGTTTAGAGGAAATGATACAAATTGTTCTGAAAATAATGCAAACTCAATCATTATCATACGAATTTGTGAAGGTTGTAAGGATTTTTCTATTTAAAATACCGACGTAATGTATAATAATAGCTTATTCTGATGACATTCGGAATTGATCTTCTCTGTCTCGCCCTAATTTAATGGTAGTCATTGCAATTCGTTTTCAAGACGATTGAAAAATGATTGCTTCTTTTTTGCTAGTGGATAAATTTGATAGTTTATATGATCTGGCTGTTAAAATAGGATGTTCCCTGGAAGCCAAAATGAATTATGAATAACTATAAATAAATTCAAATTTATGTCATTCATTGAAAAAGGTTTGTTAAATTGAGAGAACGGACAAAAACTTTGGTTTGACATCATTTGACTGTTTTATGGTCGACAAGCTTACCGAAAAAGTTTTGAAATTTCACCCCCTCAAGAATATCCTAGATCTGTACCTAATTTTATATAATAGCCATAATATATAATAATATTTGTAATTTAATTGGGTTAATTTTTGCTCTTAATAACTTTTTTATAAAATGGCTAAATTAGTTAGTTTTTCTCACCTTCCTTGTCGAAGATTCGGAACGCCTGCTTGAGAACATCCTCCATGTCTCCCGTCTTCAGGATCTTAGAGATGACCTTGAGGAACCCATCGAACGTGTACTTGCCAGTGGCAGTGACATCACACGCCAGTCTGAACTGGGCCAGCTCAGCTGTCGAGGCATCATAGCCCATGTCACTCAAGTGCTGCACCAGGTTCTTGGTGAACAGCTCCTCGTAGAGACCCTCGTTCTCCGAGAAGTAGTCGAAGGCCTCTTTGAAGTCTCGCACTTTGTCGTCCGATAGACCGTAGGTTTCGGTAACCCCTAGAGTAGTAGCCATTTTATGTATGCAAAATTGATATTACAGATCTAGCTTAAGACGTTCGAGTGGAAATGAAATAAAGTGGTCCAAGCAAAGGCACAACAAGAGCACGGTTTGATTGTAAGCCTGACAATGAAAGGAATGAAAAGCGCGGTTTCGCCCGACGTGAAATCAAATTGTGTATATTTGGGCTTTGAGAGGGAAGAACCTTAGCGAACCAATGAAATCGGAGAAAAATTTCATGTGAAACAATTAACTAAGGAAAACAAACCCAATTGAACTGAGTCCGAAGATTATACTCGAAACTTCAATACTCGAAACACTCAATGTTATAACTATTATCTCAATTTCAGAAATTCAAGAGTTCTGATAAAACCCAGAAATATAACCATGTACAACTGGTTTACCATTTTGTTCACAACTTTGGTATAAATCCCAGCTACCTAAGTTTTAGGAGTGTGAAGAAAAATGCGCGTAAATCTGAACTCCTGGGAAATTTCTTGAATATGTGTTTCAATATAAAAGGCTTAATTCAAGTCTTTGCACGATTGGTTTTGGTAAAATTTGGGTCTTTTGGGGAATGTATTGGTTCCTCAACTCTAATTGGATAATTGGGAAAGAGAAAAGTACGAAAAAGTTTTCTTACAATCAAAAGTCGATAAGAAAAGGTCGGCTATTCCGACTCTTTCCTAGTTCTATTGAAGGAAAATTAGATTTTGGTTCATTGACAAATTTGATTCAAGTGGCACTTGAACAATCTAGAATTTCTCAAGGAATTTCAAAATACATGTAAATTCCTAAGGGCTCCGCAGAATGTTCTAGAATTTCTTAATAAACCCGAAAATTCCTCGGAAGTTATTTTAAACTTCAGTGCAAGACAGAAGAAGATGGTCAGAGTTGAGAAAAACTAATTAGAAGCAAGAGCGTAAAAATAAAGAACCCGAAGTAATGCAGAAACACTGAATCTCTCCTCAACGACTCAGTTTTCTTAAATCATTTTCAAACTTTCCTCTAGACATTTTTGTTTCATAAAGGCTGGACTAACTTCAAACCGTAAGATGAAGTAACCAAGGAAAAACCAAAAAAATCAAAAAATGAGCAAATAAAATTGAAGCATCTCGAAAATTATTTTCAAATTTTTGATTTTTAACAAACTCAAAGCATGGTCAAAAACGATTGACACTCTGTATTAATACATGGTAATTTTCAAATAATTGTGTAAAACATCCATCTTTGCTTCAGCTCCTGCACGTACAGCTAGAAATAAATTACAGATTTCAAAAATTGAAAATTGTAAGCCGGTTTTTCACAACACTGATTTTTTTCGACATATTGTTCGAATTACAATAAAAATGCTTTGCGTGGAAAAATTTTACAGTCAGAAAAAAAACTATAAAAACACCAATATAGCTAAGAAACAGATTTATCAAATGTCCGACTATAAAAATCAAATCTCTGACTTGAACTTAAAGCTCGGCTAGCCAAGTGCGCTGTGAGAATGTATACCCTTTTCAAATTAAGCGCAATTCTTGGAAGTCAGCAAAAAATGATTTCAAAATGTTGCAATTTGAGCAATTCGTTGGTTTAGTTGCAATCAAATGGACTCTCAGTGCTAATTTTTACTTTTTGAGAACCCCCGATCACTCGCGTAGATTCGCCAATTTTCTTTGCTCTGAATGTTCCGATTGCCCTTTAACTAGTCTTGAATAGCTTCTAGATTAGTGTTTTTGTAAATACGTCTTTTAAGAACAATAAACTTTGGAAACGAACATCTATTGTTAAGTATAACAAGACTGCTTGTATCAGGGCGAAGCCCTGGATGTTCCGACTGTCTTTTAAGGTCTATGGAGCAAAAATAACATGAAAAAAATAAATGTAATAAAAAAACCATCCCCCAGCAGTAATAACATGAAAAAATTAGATGTAAATAAAAACCATCCCCCAGCAAAAATGATATGAAAAAATTAAATGTAATAAAAACGAACCTTGTCAAAATCATCCCCCCACGCGCCATATAAAATACGAAGTGATAGATATCTCCTAGTAACAAACCAATTATGGCAAATAAGCTTCAGTCAACCCATTTAGAATGATTTCTGAGACGGATTAAATATCCGTTTACGCGTTAATAGCGCAAAATATATCGCGCTTTATTATACCAAATTGGCCAAAATAACAATATTTAAGCCCCCATAACTCTAATGATAAGGAGAAAACACTGTGAAAAATTGCTTGTTAAAATATCGAAATTTGACAGAAGAAAAAAATTTCGTTACTTAACCCCGTGCACAAATATTCCGTTAGTTCCGTTAGGAAAGTCAGAACAAAATTTTGAGTCGTGATAGAAATGAGTTTGAAGAATTAGCTCAATGCCTCATTACGACAATTTTGGAAGAAAACAAGATTGCTTGTATCTCAGAGCAAGGTTTCGTTTGCACTTAAAAGGAAATTAAAATGTTTTTTGGTTGAATAATTGACAAAATAATTTAAAAAAAAGATTTTTTTTTTCATTCCTCCCATTTGCTATGTAAGATACAAAGAGTGTGTTTAGCTTCTCTTTTGTTTTGCAAAGAATAAATTGCTGGCCTAGTTTCAGTTTGGGATGCATAAATTGCCACGTACGCATATTATAAGTATATTGCCCGCTAATTATCCTAAATTGACAAAAACAGCTGTTCTCAAATACCCAGTAACTTAACGAAAAATAATCACAGGTGAAAAATATTTTAAATTTGAGCTCAGAACAAAAATTTTGAAATGTGTGAAATGTTTTTTTTTCGGAAAAACTCATCAATTGTGTTAATCTAAACTACTCCATCGAAATTAAAATGCAAAGAAGCATACAGTGGTTTGCCCTGATATGAACAGTTTTGTTTCATTTTGGGACATGGTGAATGCAAGGCTTATCGTTCCGCAGAAACACTTGGTATTACGGTTTCAAGCACACAGATAAATTTCTCAAAACGCGCGTGAATTAGAAGAACAAAACGTGGCCAAAGCGTCAAGTTTCAAATCTCAAAGCATTACAAAAAGTAATTGAAGGTTAAGCATCCCCCTATCAATTCAAGAAAAGGGACATATCTAAGATAATAAGTTAGTAGAATTTTCGACTAATCAGATTGCGGCAAACTTCGAATTATAATAGAATGTTCTCGTGCTTTTCGCTATTTGTATTTATACAAGTGACCTTCCTTTAGTGGATATTACTGGGATGGGGGCGATTGTTAAGTTGATCCTTAGTTAAATTTGTATAAATTATTTTTTAGCTCCAGGAGTCAAAGTCTTCAAGAGGTTGTAAACTTGAAAACTTTTTTTGGGGTCGCCTAAAATGACCATTGACCAAATGTTACTAAATTTGACCAAAGTCGACCAAATTTGACCATTGATTTTAGCAAATTGAAATTGATGAAATTGATGAAATTTGTGTTTTTTTTCAGATCTTTCTTTGCAAATATCATCATCTCCAAACACGCTATGTAAATTGCAAAGTAAGACATTTGGCATATAGTATAGTAGAAAATAGATCGAATAGCATACCTCAATTGAATTTGGAACGATTTTCTATTCTAAAATTTTTGTCAAAAATAGCTAGTTAAAAAGTCAGAAGTTTGTTTGAAGAAAAAAACCACCTCGAGCACAAATTTTCCGTCACTTCGAAACAGGATATAATTTTTACATAACAATTTACAAAAATAATCAATTCAGTATTGAGCTCTTAGTTGTGATTTATGTTCATTTTGCAGTTTCAGTATGAGAAAAGCGAATTTTCGTTCTGACAGCCTAAAGAGTACCCAATTTGGTACTTATTTTTGACAGGCCTAAAACTTTCTAAAGTCGCTATTATTAGCCGTAAATTTTTGGTGAAAACCTTTAAAAACTGCCGTAGAACGTCACTGTAGACCGTTTTTTAATTCAAATCTGCCAGAAAATCTTTTTTTTCATCTGGTTTGATAGGAATTTTCAGAGTTGGTTGTCAACTTCAAATGTCGAACATAGTGGTCCACCTAAATCCACCTTTGATTATAATTTAACGAGTTTCTTTTTCTAGAGTGTGCTCGAAATTAGAAATAGAATGTATAAGAAACTTATATTTTGGCTCCAAGTAATCCAAATATATGCTTACAAAAACTTATACATATTTGAAGTATGTTTAATCTCAAATTTCGACAGCATGAACAACTTTTGGTGCAAGTAAAGCACCAATGAAACCGTACAAGTAGACTCCCATAATAAGACTTGTTACGTAATAATGAGACTCCTTCGAAAACAACTCGACGAGATAGGGAAAAACTGGAAGTGGCAGAGCCATTAAACACGTTGTCAGCCCAATTAAGCTCGATCGAATCCTTGGGGGGTACATTTTGGAAATATTGATCCAAACTGAAGTGTTTATTGCTTGAGATAACATCTTGCATGCTGCTAGGATCCCGACAGCCAGTAAAGGAGTCGGACATAAGTAGAGCCATGATCCCAGAAAGAGGATGATTATAAACATCGCGAGTGCATTTCGGCGTAAATTCACCCCACCGGTTGTGGAGTTAATAGTTGGAATGATGAAAAACCATGCTAGAACTCCAGTTAACTGCGACATCATCAGCTTGCCATAATCCCATTTTGAAAGAATGTATGTCCTAGAATGACCTCCATCGCAATACGATCCTACATCTCCGACTAGGAAAACAACATTCGTGAGAACGAAGTTCAGGCCGAGATTAATCATGCGGCATGCAGTTCCCATCATAATAGCACAAAGCGCAGTACGCATTATACCCCAATTTTTGAACATCACTGATATGCTTTGTCTGAATGTTAGTCGGGATTCTGCGACTATTTGATTCGCGTCTTGTTGCGGCTTGCGAAACTCAAATTGACCTGGTAGGTCAATTTTTCTCGAATTTGCCATTTTTTTGAGCAATTTTGTAGCTTCATCTGTTTTTCCACGGGATACTAAATAGGAAGGCGTTTCATGAAGGATAAATAAACCTAGTACGAAAAACAAAACAGACGGAACCGTACATGCAATGACAAAAAGTTTCCAGGAAATTTTTGGATCAGAAAGAAGAAATAAACCGAGTATCATGGGCACAAGACCGCCGAGCACGTTTCCACATAACTGGTTTCCAAAAAGAGGTCCGAACCACGTATATTTAGTCGGAAGCATTTCGGCGAAGCATGGAATTCCAATTGAAAATGCACCTGTAAGCAAAAGCATAAATCGAATTTATTTCTCAGATGAAGCAAGTTATCGTAGAACGGATTGATTTAAGTTTTATTGGGGTAAGATTCTGAAATTCCGTGAAAAAGTTAATATATGTAAGCCAGGGAGTGGGGAGGGGTTGTATTTTCAACAAATATTCAAAAATATTGTCGACCTTTTTTTAGGTCGACCAAATTGATTTTCTCAGCTCTCCCAAATCACTATTAAGACCCTATTTTGACCAATTTTTTGGCGAATTTATCTGCGCTGGAGGCGAATAAATTAGCAAAACGATTTCTGCTGAAAAAAATTAGTTTGAGAAATCTCACCACTGGTCAAAGATACACCCACTCGACAAACAATAATCCAGTAGACATCGGGGGCCACACAGGTGAGCAGATTGAAGACAATTACCACTAAACAACACAGCAACAAGGCGTTCTTCTTCCCAATTTGATCAGCTACAAAACCCCAGGAAGCGTTGCTGACAGAGAACCCTGCCAAAGATGCAGCTCCTAAGATTCCTTGAAGATGTGGAGTCAATTCCATATCAACATACAGCCTTGCAGATAGGTAAGGCTGACACTGAATTGCAACGTTCTCACTCAGGTTGTTTAAAGCTAAAACCGATACGAATAAAATCTGCCATTTGCCTACTCCTATTTTGTTGATCAGTTCTTCGACTGTGAACTCGGGAACTTCAACTGAGTTTTCAAGAGTGTCTTCGCTGGTTCGTTTGCTGGATCGAGCGGAGTTCGTCTGGTTCGAAGAATCCCAGTCGGATTTAACCAGAAGGTCTTCATCACCTTCACAGGAATGGTAAGAATCGTTGGTATATGGATCGGTATATGGATCTGTATATGGATCTGTAAAGGAATCGTTATCCAAGTCAGTCATTTTTAAAACTAATTTGTGATTTAATGGTATATAAATGGCATATAAGTGAATCAAATTAACAATTACAGCGAGGCTTGTTTTTATACTGCAAATTTTGAAAGCTAATATTTGGTTAATGAATTTATACACGTTAAAAGTAACATATACGCTTTTAATCACGTCGAACAATTTTTAATGATGAGCTTTAAAATGGCTTTCATTTGAAACTTGAAACTTCGCAGTTTTATTATGTGTGGTTTATGCATTTAACACATTAGATCTTTTGGGCGCGCTATTAGTTTGAGATTTTCTCAATTGGAATGTTCAACTTAAAGGTACATAACCACTTTTTTGACATCGACTAGTATCATGAACGGATTTCAAATTGCTCATTATTCGGGTACTGAACATGTTTTTGCAACTTTTTTTTAAATTTTTTTTACAATTTCAGGTATCAAGTATCAAAAGACCTTGAGGTAGTGTTTTGAGCTGAGATCTAGTGACGCCGAGAAGTTTGTCGCTAATTTCTCATTATGATAGCTCGCGTTTAATTATAAGTGAAAAAATCTGAAAATAACTTTATTTTAAGCGATTTATGTTTCTACTTACATTTACAAACTCAGGTAAAACGCAAACACACTTAGACACACCACACACACACACACACACACACTCACACACACACAAACGAACACACCAAACAAGCACGTACGATGAATTAAACGTTTTTTACAATTCTCGAAACCAAACCGCATCTTAGGCGTAAGTAACCGATTACAATGGATTATTATGTTGATTTTATAATCGATTCTGTGCAAAACATTTGAATTAGAAATTCTGATAAAAGTAATCAACTATTTTTGATTCTAATTGATTGTAATTGTATCAAAAATTTATAATTATAGTGGATTAATAATCAATTCTAATCTTTTAAAATCGATTACACTCGATTTATGATTAATCAAATCAATTTTTCTCAATTTTAGTAAATCTGGTATTAAAATCATAATATGATCAATTATCAAGGCTCAAAACTGGTTGCGGGGAGTTCTTTATTACTATTTTTTTCAACAAAAAACATAATGTGGAATATCCTTCCAGTCATAGCAAACATAAAGTGCTTTTTAAAGTTTTTTGAGACCTTATGCTTCAGTCAAGCAATTAATCATAATGGTTTTTCTAAATCAGTGCAACTTGTTTTTTTTGTCCAGAAAATCTAATATAATCATTTTTTAGACAACAGTTTATCGAGCAAAAACGTTTTAAAATGAGCAATATGAGCAACAGCATCAATAATCTATTTCTGACGGCTAAAATATAGCATACAAAAACAATTTCAATCTTAGTTACTGAAAATAAACAAGTCAAGGATGGGAAAAAAATGTTTTCTCGGAAAACGGAAGAACAGCTGTTACAGTTTTTTTTGTGTGCTATTAGAACAAAATTAACGCTTGAGAAAAAAGTTTTACAAAAAATAAAAAACCTGATGAACGAAAAAACATTAAGATTGTCATCTCTTTTATCGTATCGGTGTACTTTTTGATCTGATCAAGCACATCAATTTCAAAAATCTTAGAGGTTTGGCAATTTTTGATGTTCGAAAGTGTTTTGCCCGCTCGCTGTTCTACCCCAAATTATTTGGTTCTCATTTTTTTGTAGTATTTTCATGACTTGAAAACTTTTTCTTGTAAATAGTTTTTATCAACAATTTTTTAAATAAAATATATATTCATAGTTTGTATTTGTCATTGGCACTAATCTCATTTCGTGAAAAGTTTTATGCAACTAAAATAATGAAGAAGAGTGAAAAGTTGTAATAACTTTTGAAATTTTTCAAAGTAAAATTGTTTCAGATTTCAATTCATTTGGAGTTTTTTTAAGCTGACAACTTTTCTCTCATTCATAAAAACTTGATTAATAAGTTGAATTTTTCTTTGATGGTACTAAAATAATTTCTTTGATGGAACTAAGATAACAAAAATCATTTGGATTTCCTTTGGATAAGATTGTTTCTGTTTTTAAACCAAGAATTTAATCATGATCTTCTATAGTACTTACAGAATTACTTCAAAAAACTGTAGACAACAGCTGTCTATCAAAAATAAAATAAAGTAAAATGACTTTAATAACTAAAACATCAATAAAATGTTTCTGATTACTAAACACTGATATACAATCAATGTCTTCCGTTATTAACAATTTAAAATAACAATTATTAAGTGAATATTATGTTTTGAGCTCTAGTTCAAAACATAATATTGTCTATTTAAGATAACTTTTGAGAGCTAATTGCTACTCTATATAAGTAGCTTAAGGGCAATTTAAACCGTTCCAAATTAAGGCAAGGTAACTGCTATGAAATTTTTGTTGTTTGATGAAAAACAAAACATAATGGAAGTGAGATTAAATAACAAAAAAGAAAAAATTTCAAAAGCCTACTTGTTACTTTGCTACTCTACAGATACTTTGAAAACCAGTTGGAGCACTGAGCACTAGATTTCGATACATGTTTTTTTTTAACCGGGTAGCGGCTTAACTCCAGACAAAATTCGACTTTAATTAAAACAGTTTTTGAGAAATTTATTGACAGTCTGTAACACATTAATGCCGTTTCAGAGTGTGTTTACGACAGTTTCTGACTCTTTTATTGTTAAGTTTTCCAAGAAAAGTTTTTGGGATTTGAAAGTAATTTTGTCTCATTTTGAGATGTATAATGCGCAATATGTTTCATCCTATTGAAGTATGAGCGGCTCTTTGAATCATTCAAAAGTGAATTCATGCCAGTTATGTGGCCTAACTGAAGCAAAAACTTTTGCAAAACATGAAATTTTGTATTTCAAATTTGCTCGCCTGAAATTTTGTTTTAAAAAATGAAGAAAAATTGAACAATTTCATTTGAAACTGTAATGTTTTTGTTTTATTGGAAGCTAAGTTGTACAAGTAAAACCGCAATAAAAAAATCAGGGTTTGTTGGCAGCATAACTGTTAAGCAATTTTGTTAGGTTCTTAATGACGATACAGTCTGCATGAAACAGTGATTGCTTTGTCTTTTTTTGTTTTTTTGATTCTTCAAAAAAAGAAACCCATCACTCCCTGTTTTATAACATAAAATAACTTTCCTTGTTGTATTGGAAAAAATTTTTTTCACAGTTTTCAAGGTTCAGTTTGGAATTTTTGTTTTCTATTTGTTTATTACGACTTCAAAAGAGTTTGTGTTTATAATTAAAAAAAGTTTTGCAATGAAAAATGTAGTTTATTTCGAAATCTTAAAAAGATTCATATTACTTTGAAGTAGCATAGCAAATTATTTTGAAACTGCGTCAAAAAGACCTCAATTTTTATTTGCATTTAATTTTTGAGTGTTACAAAAAAATTTGTAATTTAATTCAAAACTTGTTTTGTCGCGCTTCCCTCTTGCTCCAAATGTAAGTGTTAGAACATTTGGAGCAAAAGTTTCGGTCGCGCTTACCTCTTGCTCCATATGTAAGTATTAGAACATGCGTATTGTATTTGTTCCAAAACAAATTCTTGTGGCAAGAATTTTGAATGATTTTCTCACCAAATTCTAAGTTAAGCGATTTAACTTATAAAAATTGTTTTTTTTTTCAGAGAAGATCGGTAATTGGTCCAAACCGGCGTATTTCTTCCAATTGTCTGAAAAAGTTAATTCTGCAATATGAAAAACTGAACAAATAAGAAGAAACCTCGAATCAGCAGTTATATGAATCGAGATGGGCAGATGTTGTGAGTAACCTCCTGTAAAAACATTGATGCAAATTTATTGAAAAAATGGGTGTCATTCTTCAAATCAATTATAGTATATTAGTTTTTATTTTAATTTTTTGAACAATTTTGTTTGACTATACTGCCAGCATTTTTGTCCTGACTATGCCAAAATTTTTACCATTATGAATATTCAGGACGCTTTCTGAGTTGGCGGGCAATTGCTTTGGCCTCGGTGATCTTACGACACCCTCCTCGTCTTTTTATCCAAGACGTCTTGTTTTTTCTAAAACATTTGTTTTATTGAGACTTAAATGTTTATGTCAAAACTTTTTACTTTTTGAGGGAGCAGCTTAAATGGTTGAAAAGGACTACATTTAATGGTCATTTTCATCTGCAAGTTAATTTGTATGTGACTATCAGCTTGAACCTCCCCAGTGTTTAGATTTCAGAAAAATTACCTTGATCATATTTCTTCCTTACCTCATTTAGTTTAGTTTTTGCAGTTCTTCGTTTTTTTTCCTGCCAATATTATGGTTATTTTTGCCAAGATGCTTAAACAAGCTCGTCAAGATCATATATACTTTTTTCAATTACATTGGACATCTGTCAAGTAACTCGGAGTCAAGATCATATTCAAGTTTCCATGTACTAAGGGTAATTTGTCAACCCACATTAAAATTTAATGGATAATTAACGACAATATTGGATTTTTATAGTCAGTCTCTATAAAATTACAAATCGATCAAAAATGGAATAAAATGTTACTATTTTTCTAGGCCAAATAATCTCTATATAATGGAATAAATTACCTATTTTTATGAGAAAATTTGAAAATTGTTTGTATACAAAATAATGCAATCATAATCGATTATAATCCATGCTTTTCTGATTAAGGGGGTCGTCAAGTTTTTTTTGATTTTTGCTTAAGTTGCGTTAGTTCGTTTTTTACTTTTTGGCTATCGGTTCTAGTTTATTGATACATTGTTGTAAATTTATTCAACTTGCTTTTTGATTCTAGTTTAATTGGTGCATTGTGTTCTGTTTATACGACTTAGCTTTTTTGAATATTTTATTCTCAAATTGTAAGTACCTGAAATACACCTTATAAAGCCAATGTTTTGATCTTGGTCATGCAATATCCTGCCAAGTTATCATTCAACATGTGCAAGAGCTTGCGTGAATGCGCAAAGTTTTCAAATTACTTAAGTAATTTGGAAATGAGAAAACTTTTCAAGTTAAATAAATAACATTGACAAGATCTTGCACGATGTTGAATAACTTGGCAGGATACTGCATGACCCAGATCAAAATATTCAGATGATATGACGTATTTCAGATAATTCTGTTTTGAGATTTTCTTCATTTATAAAATCAAGCTTAATTGAGCTGACTACTCTGCAAAAATCCCTTA